CCTAGGGGGATTAATAAAGTGCACCTTTACCTTTACCATCCAGGCCATCTTCAGCTCCTCTCACTACTGTCACTTGTACCCTCCAGGCTTTCTCTGGCTCCTCTCACTCACACCATTTTCAGCTCAAATCTCTCTGTGATCCTGGGGTTTTCACTGTAAAATAGTCTTATAAATCCAGAAATGAGCCATATAAGGGTTGACCAATCACATGGTTACTTCTCGGGGGAAATTCCGTCACTTTCACTGTCTTTTTTACCATCGCTGTAAACCCTAACTTCAATCCTACTTCAGATATCAAAGTTATTTTAAATAGATTTTTCCCAGTAAGTGAATATTACTCATTTATTGTTAGTTTATTTAAAGCTTGCCCATGTCACTCAGGGTTTTCTTTGAATTGAACTGTTTCTGTTCAAGTAAGCCTCACTTTTGACATTTTGACGTGTAGAGTCTTTAATGGGGCAGGTTTTTTTTTTTTTTTAAATGTAATTTATTATATTCCACACCAAGTAGAGAGGTAACAGTTCAAAATAAAACAAGAATACAAAAGTAAATACATTTTATCCCTCCCCCCTCCCACATCCCACCCCCCCCACCCCCCTCCCACTTCCCACCCCCCAAGATGTCCTGCGACAGGTTTTACCCAAGGCTACAAGCAGTAAAACAAGAACAAAACACAAATCAAAATATCCAAATAATGATAGTAATAATAAAGTTTTGGATTAGGTTCCTTAACATGGAAAAAAAAAAAAAAAAAAAAAAGTTAAAGAAAACAAAAAAAAAAGTAGACACAAGAAAATGAATAAATACAAAAATAATATTATATAATATTCTTCTTACAATGTTCTTAGATTTAATAGATATATAATAATGTTATTCCAAATCTTAATAAAAGTTTCAGGTTTACCACTTATGTTATATTTGATCTTTTCAAGTTCCATGAACATCATCATATCTTTAAGCCATGTGGATACTTTCGGTGCTGTTGTTGATTTCCATTCTAGAGCAATTCTTCTACGTGCGAGTAGTGTTGCAAATGCAATGCTCTTCTGATGGGTCTTTTGGCTCTCAGGTAAGACACCAAAGATTGCTAGTTCAGCACATGGTAGTAGTGATATGTTTAAGGACTCTGACAGATGTTTACTGATCATGGTCCAGTAGTACTGGAGATGTGGACAGGACCATATCATGTGAGACATATTTGCCGGAGACATGTTGCACCTGTTACAGCTATCACTTACATTTGGGTACATTTTTGAAAGTTTATGGTTGGTGAGGTACAGTCTGTGGACAATTTTAAATTGAATTAGGTTAAGCCGGCTACAGGATGTGCTGTCATTTACCAGCGTTAAGGCATTAGACCAATCTTCCACACTCATTGTCTTATGGAGTTCCTTTTCCCATTGTGTTTTCATTTTTTCCAGAGATCCCGTAGTAGCCTTTGAAATTACACAATTAAGTTTTGAGATGAGCCCCTTTTTGATAGGTGGGACATCCAAAATAAAATCAGTTATTGTAGGGGAAGGGGCATTAGGAAAGGTTTGTAAATTTAATTTAACAAAGTTTCGGACTTGAAAGTATCTAAACAAATGAGATTTTGGAAGTTTGTGTTTTTCGCAGATCTCATTAAAATTAACAAACGTGTTTTTAATGTAGAGGTCTTTTACTCTGATCAGGCCAAGTTTGTGCCAGGTAGAATAGCCTCCATCTGAATTTGGGGGGGAGAAAGCATAGTTATTACAGATAGGGCTATGAATAGACATGTCCTGGGAATGTAATGTGCGTCTGAACTGATACCAGATCTTTAATGTGGATGCAACCACTGGGTTAGAAGTGAATTGGTTGATGTTAACAGGCATTTTGGATGTAACTAGTGCCATTAAAGAGGTGGAGCAGGATTTGGCTTCTAGTTCACACAAACTTAATGATTGATCTTGCATCCACATTAGTATTTGTGTGAAGTTGGCACTCCAGTAATAGTGTTTTAAGTTTGGGAGCGCTAAACCGCCTTTTGAGGTATGTCTCTGTAAGAACTCTGCCTTTATCCTGGGTGTTTTGCCTTTCCACAAGAATGAGGTGATTAACGTATTTACCGTCTTAAAAAAGGAGTTTGGTAAGTGAATTGGTAAGCATTGAAAAAGATATAAAAAAGCTGGTAATACATTCATTTTAATACAATTAACTCGGCCAACGAGACTAATATGTAGGTTATCCCATCTATGCAGATCTGCTTTAAGTTTATCTATTATTGATGGGAAATTGTTTTTGTATAACTCAGTCATACTCTTGGATATAAAGATCCCTAAATATTTGAATTTTTCTGAACATATTTTAAATGGAAGGTGTTTTTGATCAACTTGATTAGCATGCTCATTCACAAGGAAACATTCACTTTTGCCAAAGTTTAATTTATATCCAGAAAAGGGGCCAAATCTATTCAGTAATTTAACAATATGTGGGATTACAGAAATAGGATCGGATATGAAAAGCAATAAGTCGTCTGCATATAGGGAAATTTTATTAATTGTATTAAATCTTTCAATGCCTTTAAATTTTGTTTCAGATTTAAGTGCGATTGAGAGGACCTCTATTGTCAGGGCAAAAAGTAGTGGGCTGAGAGGACAGCCTTGGCGTGTCCCTCTGCCAAACTTAAAAAATTGTGATCTAGATCCGTTTGTTATGACTGATGCTTTGGGAGACGAGTATAGAAGCTTTATCCAGGATATATATTTTGGGCCGATATTAAAACATTTTAGAGCCTCGAACAGGAATGTCCATTCAACTCGATCAAAGGCTTTCTCTGCATCCAGCGAGACCACTACTTCTGGGGTCTCACTGGATGCAGGAGAAAGAATAATACTGAGAAGGCGCCGAATGTTGGAAGAAGAATGTCGATTTTTCATAAATCCAGTTTGATCTGAGGAAATTATTTTAGGCATGATTAGTTCCAGTCGACATGCAAGTATTTTAGATAGGATTTTATAGTCTGCATTTAAAAGAGATATAGGTCTATAAGAACTGCATTCGGAGCCTTCTTTACCTGGTTTTAAAATAAGTGTTATTGCAGCTTCTGTTAGAGTTTGTGGCAGAGAGCCCTGGGCCATAGAGTCATTAAACATGTCCAAAATAAGAGGTGCCAGTTTGGTTTGAAATGTTTTGTAAAACTCAATGGGATAACCATCTGGACCAGGGGCCTTTCCACTTTGCATTGCCATAATAGATCTTTTAATCTCATTTATGGAAAGAGGAGTATCTGTATGGCTTGTTTCAGCTTGTGTGAGTACTGGGAATTCAAGACCGTCCAAAAAAAGATTCATTTCCTTGTCGTCTGTGGGAAATTGCGAGGTGTACAGCGTGGAAAAGTATGTTTTGAAGGTTTCATTTATTTTTGAATAATTAGTAGTAAGTTCACCTGATAAGGTTTTAATTTCATTTATTTGGTTCCTAATTGTTTTATTTTTAAGCTGGTGTGCCAGATATCGTCCGGCCTTCTCACCATGCTCATAATTTATTCCACGAAGTTGTTTTAATCGATTTTCAGTTTCTTGGGTGGATAGTAGATTATATGTCATTTGGAGATTTGCTCTTTCTTTTCGTAGTACTGCGGATGAGTTCTTTGACATTGTGTCGTCTAATCGAGCTATATCTTTCAATAGTTGTTCCCTCTCTTGTTTCTTAGCTTTATTTTGTTTTGCGCTGTAAGATATAATCTCGCCTCGTATAACAGTTTTCAATGTTTCCCACAGAAGAGAAGGAGATACAGATTCTGATTTGTTATTTAACAGAAACACATCAATTGCTTCAGAGATTATAGAACAGAAGTTACTATCATTTAAAAGTGAGCAGTCAAACCTCCAAAGGGGCCTTATTTTTTGAACTAGTGATAGGGTCATATCCAGTATAAGAGGGGCATGGTCAGATATGACTATGCTGGAGTAGGTCACATTATTAACATTTGATAGAAGACTTTTATCTATAAAAAATAATCTATTCTTGAAAAAGAGTTGTGAACATTTGAGTAAAAAGAAAATTGCTTTTTATCTGGGTTCAGGGCGCGCCATGGGTCTATTCCTCCAGTTTGTTCCATGAACTGTGATATCATTTTTGACATTTTATGAGGGGAGGTAGTATTTTTGGAAGATTTATCAATCAAGGGATTCATAGTACAGTTCAAGTCTCCTCCCAAAATAAGACGATGTAAATTTAAGTCAGGTAGTACAGAAATAACTGTTTGAAAAAAGGAGGGATCGTCTCTATTTGGTGCATACAAATTAACCAAAGCCACTTTTGTGCCATCCAATTCACCAGTTACAACTAGAAACCGCCCATTCGGGTCATTAATAATACTGATTGGCTTAAAGAAATTTTTTTTATGAATTATTATGGCCACCCCTCTTGATTTACTTTTGAATTTTGAATGGAAGGTTTGCCCGACCCATGACGCTCTCAATCTGTGGTGGTCCTTTGGGACCAGATGAGTCTCCTGCAGAAAGGCTATATCAGTTTTTAATTGTTTTAAATGAGAGATTATCCGCCCTCTTTTAATAGGGCCGTTAAGACCCTTCACATTCCATGAGACAAATCTCAGACCATTTTCCTTGTCACCCATTTTTAATTAATAAAACAATACAACAGAAAAGGCATGAAATATATATTGGTATTAAGGTGTATACTAAGACAGCGGTACCCAGGCAGGACAGCCCCCCACCCCTTTTCCCAGCCCACCCAGCCCCCCCCAAATGATAAAGAAAGATTGACAGGTAAAAAACAAAAAGTGTTCCTAAGCTTGTGCCCACCCAAGGCACAGGCAGCAGGATGGTGTGTGTTGCTTGTATGATGTCCATACCGCATTTTTGAGCGCTCCATTAATGTGTCAGTTAGTCGCCTTATTTGGAGAATGTCTATAAAGTATATACAAAAGGAAGGCTCACCTCACTTCCAGTATAGTTGTCCGGTCCTCTTTTTCAGGAATTTTTCTTTTTTTTTCTTTTCTTTTTTTCCTTCTACTCACGACTAGAACTATTTCGGTCAGCAAAGACTTGAGCTTCTTCGGGAGAATCAAAATAGTGATTTTTATTTCCGCTCCACACCTGCAGGCGAGCGGGGTGTAGTAAGCGGAATTTTATTCCATTGCGATATAGTTTGTTCTTAACTTCTTTGAACGCACCTCGCCTCTTCGCCAAAGCAGCGCTGATATCCGGGTACACTCGAAGTGTTGAGCCGCTATATTCCAGTGGATGTTGCGTGGCCCATCTCCGGAGCGTTTCTTTATCTTGGTAACGCAGGAATTTCACGATGAAGACCCTGGGTTTCGTTGATCCACCCGTGTCTGCCGCTCGAAATCCTGGGGTGCGATGGGCGCGCTCTATCTCCGGGGGGTTTGAGAAGACATCGGGGCCAACCAGCTTCATTATCAGGTTAGCCATAAACTTGATGGGGTCTTGGTCCTTTTCGCTTCCTTCGGGAATGTTGATAATCCTCAGATTTGAACGACGGGATCTATTTTCCAGTTCCTCCACACGATCGTGGAGTATCTGTGTTTCGGTCTTGAGGGTTTTCACCTCGACCTCAATTTCTGTAATGTGTTTGAAGTTTTCTCCGACTGTAACTTCAGTTTGTGTGAGGCGAGTGTTGAACGATGCCACTTGTTGTCCAAGCTGTGACACTGATTGTTTGAGTGATTGTGTTGATTCATTCACCAAAGTTGCCATGTCTTCTTTGAAACTGTCCCGCAGTTTATTAAGCAGTGACTCGAGCTCATATTTGGTCACTGGGTCTGCGGCGCTAGGCTGATTTGCGTCTGGGAGTATTTCATCTCCGCTGCTAGTTGTGAGCTTAGCCACGGAGCTCGCAGCTCGAGTTAGTGGTGGGTTTTGCATGACGAGCTTGAGCTGCTTCTGCTTACTCATTTTTTTAGCGGAGCGTAGAAAATGTACCTTTGTTGTAGATACGGTTTAAATGTCCAATTCAGAAAGTGAGGTTTGAATGAGAAATGTTAAATTCCAAGGTTTGTTCAGAGCGCTCTGCACACACGTGTGTTCACACGGACATCCGTCTTCCCGTCTCGAACCGACAGGATCTCGATGACGGCATAATGAGGCAGGTTTGACAATGTCAGGGTGGCCTGGTGGCTGAGTGGGTAGCACCATTACCTCTCAACTACAGGGGTCTGAGTACAATTCCCAGTCGGAACTTAAGAAGAAATTTAAACTTTATTGCAATCACTTGAGTTACTTGGTAATATCAAGTAAAGGATGTACTCGAGTAATTCAAGTGAAGTTAATACGCAATTTATTTCCATGGTTTTTTCAAGTAAACTTTACTTGTCAGGGTTTACAGAGATTCACCAGCTTCTCTCACCACTGTCTCTCCCTCTGAGCCCTTGGAATTTCTCAAGCTTTTTTTCCTTTTTTTTCCTGATGTTGCCATTGCTTGGAATCTGCCCTTTATCCACCACCACGATGTCTGCTTGGTTAACCATTAACATTTTGCCTGAATCTGGATGTCCCACTGGATCTTCGAAGGTCACCACCTTTGGAGGAGTTTCCCATTTAGACCTTGGGGTTTCCAGCCCAAACTGTGCACATATGTTCCTGTACATATGACAGCCACTTGGTTATGGAAAGATGGATGGATGGATGGATATGTAGCCGATCTCTCCGCGTTGTGTATTGTGTAGGTAAATGCGTCAAGAATCAAACCAGACACAGGGGTTTGTCATTCGAGGGGTTTACTGTGTGAAACACAAAAAATCAAAATGCTGTATAGCACACGGCAGTCCCTGACACAGATCTCCCCTCTGCTTTCTTCCCAGCAACTCGGCTACTAATCTGCATATAATAATGATATTCTTAAAGTGTAATCATATAGTTTTTTTAACCAGTAAACTCCCAATCATGACATTTTTATGAAACAAAAACTAAATCATGTACAAAAGACACTTGTGAAAGAAAATACAAAACATACCTGTGTGAAACACAAAAAATCAAAATGCTGTATAGCACACGGCAGTCCCTGACACAGATCTGCAAACAGAAAAAGTGCCACAGACAACAGTGAGACCATGCTCGCTAGCTTAAATACACTGGCTTTTTCAAAGTGCTATAACTCGATTAAAAAACACTATTTCACACATTTACATTAAACATAAACATTGGCAAGTGCCTTATAAATCATGAACAACAAAAAGAATTGACCTAAATCAACTTTATATGAAATATTTTATAACTTGAATCACGAGAGATTTTACTGCTTACCTCCCCTCTGCTTTCTTCCCAGCAACTGAAGGGGAAGCCCGCGAACCCACAGGAAGTGGCGACACCGCCAAAATAAAAGCCTCGACTTAAAAATATACAGAAATAAAACTTAAATAAAATACCAGTAAATACTAACAAAAAAATATGATTTTGGTGAAATTGACAAGACTCAGACCACATGGGCTACATCCACCCCTCCCAGATTTCGCCAAAATCCACACAAAAACCAAGCAAGGACTCAAGAAAAGCTCTAAGCTTCACATTCAGCTGAAAAGCTACCTATGAAATAGGTTCAGAATAAACATAAGGGTGATCAGACCTTAGTCACTCTTAGATTGATATGATGCCGTGTACACCATACAAACACCTTGCTTATAAAACACTTGAAATGACTGGCAAAAAGGTTTACAAAGCGTGATTCCTTCAAAAACAAAACATACACTTCTGTCCTTTCTCTTTCTAGAACAAAGTCAAAAGTGACTGAGACCTCTTACTGAATGAACTAGCAAGTCCCTTCAAACTTAAAGGTGTCTGTACCATAGTTTCAATGAGACGATTGACCCGTTTACTGACTCTACCTGCCCTTGTTACAACTGCCCCTTCCCCATTAGCATCTGGGTTTGTCTGAATGGGCAAGTCAGGGGTGCCTTGGTCAAAATCTGGACCTGTTTCTACGTCACAATCAGAAGGTAACTGAATCTCAGATGTGTAAGAGTCATTTCCTACAGCCAGGCTAACTACATCACTCTGGACTTCAGTGTGATTCAGTTCATGTCGGGGACCTGTCTCTGGTGAACTCCGACCTGACTGCTCTGACTGGGACACACTTTCACTCTGGTCTAGTTGATCAAGAGAATGTTCTGAAGTATCCAAAACCCACGTGTTTGTCCGATCCATACTATTCTCCACATCCAATGAATCAAGTGTGCACGTTTCATCCACATCACTTGCATCCACCACTGGTAGGAAACTGATATCCAAAAGCAAGTTTCTGTGTACGATTTTTGTAGCACCACTGGGATCCTCCAGCTTGTATGTGTGGTTCTGTAAATTCCTGTCCTTTATTGTGTACACCGTGGAACTCCATTTGTCTGCCAATTTTTTCTTTCCTCTTTCACCCTTGTTTGCAATGAGAACGCGATCTCCAATATTCAGTTGGGTTCCTTTGATCTTTCTGTTATATCCTTTTGCTTGTTTGTCCTGTTCCTTGATACTGTGCTTTTGAGCGATCCTTGCTGCTTCATGCAAATGTGACATGAGTGTTTTAACATAACTTTTGTGATCAACCACAACTGGATCATTGAGCACTTGCTTGAACATAACATCAACAGGGAGTCTTGGGATCCTCCCAAACATCAACTGAAAAGGGGCATATCCTGTCGTCTCATGCACTGTAGAATTGTAGGCAAAGGTCAAAGTTTGTATTTGTTGTGGCCATTTTTGCTTTTGTTTCAAGGGCAACGAGCGGAGCATGTTTCCAAGTGTGCGATTAAATCTCTCTACCCGTACCATTTCCCATGGGATGGTACGCTGTCGTATGAGATTTGGAGACACAAGACAACCTAAGCAGCTCCGCAATCAACTCACTTTCGAAATTTGCTCCCTGGTCAGAGTGTATACGCTCAGGAAAGCCGTACACACAGAACACATGATCCCACAACTTTTTTGCCACTTGTTTAGCTGTTTGGTTTGAACATGGAAAGGCATGAGCCAGCTTGCTGAAATGATCCGTTACAACAAGAACATCTACTGAGTGCTGTTTGCTATCCTCTGCACTCCAAAAGTCTATACATACCAACTCCATAGGTGATGAAGTGCGTATACTTTCAAGAGGAGCACGGGCAGATGGGTCTGGAGTCTTAGCTAGAATACACCTCTGACAACACTTCACGTACTCTTTCACATCAATGTCCATTTTTGGCCAGAAAAATCTTTGTCTGGCCAGATGCATTGTCCTTTCTTGTCCCTGATGTCCTGCGATGTCATGAATGGCATACAGAGCCTTTTCTTTCAAACTTTCAGGAAGGACGAATTGATGTCGTTTGTGTTTACTGATTGGATCTTTTGTGACTCTGTACAAGGCTCCATTTTGTAACCTAAGTCTCTCAAACTGCTTTAACAGAATCATGACCTTTGGATCAAATGTCGCTCTTTCTCGTCTAGATGGACGCTTCTTACGACTGACAAAAAGCACAAGTGCTGAAATGGTGGGATCATTTTCCTGACTGTGCTGCAACTCTGCCAGTGTGAACACAGGAAGCGGGTCTTGACCGGGTGGTACCATGTTCTGAACAGCCTGAATAAACTGTACAGCCCTCGTTTCTGCGGCAGCTTCCCATTCATTGTGAGTTTCCAACAGTGCACTTATTTCAGCTCCACAGATGGATTTTGACTGAGGGACAAGGGCTCTTTTAACTTTGTGACACTGAACTTTGAGACGGAAAGTATCCTGGATACTATCTGGGGTAACACCTTCTGCCTCTGCAACAAGCCGCTCATACTGTTCGGTTATGAGTCTCTGACTAACAGTTTTAGCAAATGGATCTCGGCTAAGTGCATCCGCCACAATGTTCTTAGTCCCTGGAATGTGTTTGAGATCAAATGAGAAAGGAGCGAGTTTGGATACCCAGCGCTGTTCGCAAGCATCTAACTTGGGCTTTGTCATAATATAGGTTAATGGATTATTATCAGTCCATACTGTAAATGAATTGCCTCTCAACCAATGACTGAATTTTTCGCACACGCTCCATTTCAGGGCTAAGAATTCCAAACGGTGGGCAGGGTATTTCTTTTGAGAAGTACTTAACGTTTTGCTTGCAAATGCGATGGGACGAGCTTTCTTTTCACCTGGAGGGATTTGCGAGAGCACAGCTCCGAGCCCATCTAACGAGGCATCGATAGACAAGATCAAGGGCTGACTGAAATCTGGGTGTGAGAGCACAGCACAATTTAAAAGACCATCTTTGAGCTTGGACAATGAAACATCACACTCTTCTGTCCAATCTGAAGGTTTCAACTTGCGAAATGAACCTAAGTTTGACTTGTATTTGACCCTACCACGCTTCTTTTGGCCAGATGTAAGGGCAAACAATGGTTTGGCTAGACTAGAGCAGCCCGGAATAAAGTGTTGATAGTATAGTACCATCCCTAAGAATGACTTAATCCGTTTCACTGAGGGCGTACACCCGTCGTCTTCCATGAGGTCCGCTTTTGTCATTTTAGATATGACCTCTACTTTGTCTGGGTCCACAGCAACACCATTTTTGTCTATTATGTGACCCAAAAACTTAACTGAAGACCTCATCAAATGACATTTTTTAGGACTCAACTTGAGATTGTGTGACCTTAGCCGCTGAAACACGAGTTCTAACCTCTCTAAAGCCTCTCGTTCTGTTGGAGCAAAAACTAAAACATCGTCAAGGTAACAAAGGAGACTAGCAAAGTTTAGATCTCCAAAAATACTGAGCATCATTCTCATAAACGAGGCGGGGCTGTTGCAAAGTCCCTGCGGCATACGATTATACTCGTGCAGTCCCATAGGGGTTGTGAATGCAGTGTACTTTTTGTCTTGCTCTGCCATTGGGATGTTATAAAATCCAGAGGTCAAATCCATCGTACTAAAATAAGCATTTCCACCTAAAGCAGCCAGGCAG